AAGCAGACCTCAAGAGTTCCTTACACATATGAAAGATTCTGGTCTGTTGCTTTGCCTGTGATCCATGGGAAGTAAGAACAGTTTTCACCTCTGCATCCAACCTTCAGGTCTCCCTTGCATAATTTCTTCCCACAGACTGTGAAGGGAGTTTTTCCAAGGACAAGAGATCTTAGAGCACTTGTGCTTTTAGCCTGGCTTCCACAGCGGGCTCAGCATGGCTTACAATTTAAATTAAGCTAAACAGGCCACTTTCTAATACCCAATAAAAACTAAGCAAAAACAGAAGCCAAAAAATCCCATTAAAGAACAAACCAACATATGTGTCCATCAGAGGTCTACTTCCCGCAGCCATCCGAGGAAGAAGGAAAACTGGTGTCTGGGCTGTATCACTTTAGGCTGCGGATGGGGAACCTTGTCATTAATTAGATTTTTATCCTCCTTTGGTCGGTGGGGCTGGGACAAGCTAGGGGTGGGGCCAAGACAGGGTGGGGGATCACCCCATTCCTGGTTTGATTCCTAACTGCTACTCTAAGCTTGCTCTCCACAGTTGAATGCTCAATACGAAGAAAACCTCCTTGCACACAGAACACTAGCATTTCAGGCTGAAGGACTACAGTCTGGCTTTCACCTTGACATAATACTTTTCTAGATGCGGGGAATTCATTCTTCTTTGTGGAGGAGGCTTCTGCTGTGTGGGCCACCCCTCTGTGCTCTGACATAGTAAAGCTCAGACTTAGGTTTAACTCCTCGCCCACAGCTTGTGAGAATGAATTCTCAGCAGGACACAAAAGCGCCTGTTTTTCTACAGCTGTGCGGTTAAGAAAGAACCATTAATGGAACACAAGAAATGCTGGAGTAGTGTTGCCAACCCACTGACTGGGCTTGGAGGTCTCCTGGAATTACAACTGGTCTCCAGGTGATAGAGATCAGCTCTCCCGGAGAAAAGGAGGGGGAAAGAGGAGTTCTGCAGGGTGGACTCTGTGGCATCACATCCCTGCCTAGGCTCCCTCCCCAGACTCCACCCTTCCTCAGCATCACCCCCCAAATTTCCAGGGATTTCTGAAGCTGGAGTTGGCAACCCTAGTTGGAATATTACCGTAACCTGGGCAGGGGTTCATGGGTCAAGTACACAGATTTTAGAAGGAAGTGAATTCTTGAACCTTGGCTGCTGTTTGGGGGTGGGTGGGTTCATGAATAAACAACACAGATTGGGGGTGTTTTTTTAAGTGTATATATTGCCCTTTCTCCCTTACAAGATTTATTCGTAGGATAAGCTCAAAATTATATGCACTATAAAAGCCAAAGCCACCCAGCTATTCAAGGGCATGCAAGACAGTAGGCGTTCTTATGGCAAGGGAGTCTGGAAGACTCGTTTAGTGGCAAACAGGGTGGGGTCAAATGCCTGTCAGCAAGGCAATGAAATAATGGGAGAAATGTTAGGCAGGAGTACTCAGAAGTAAGATTGATTCTATCCAATGGGCTGACTCCCAGGACATTGTTCTTAGGATTGCAGATGGAGTCATCCACAGACAAAATACTAAATTGTCAGTTTTTTAAAAAGGGGGAAAAATCCAGAATGACTTGATGGGTCCTGGGTGTGCCCTCCAGGAGCCATGGATTGTTGAAGGCAATCAGTCTAGACAAAAGAAGTGGGGACAAGAAGGCAAAAAAGAAAAAAGAGGATGATGGGAAGATCGGCTTTTTCCAGCCACTAAGATGCTGAAGAGGGATATTTGGGTCAAGGGGAAATTTCATACTCCTATATCTCCATTCTGTGCACACTTCCTTGCTTCTAAATTTACTTTATTTTGCATGTTTGTTATGGGTGTTCATAAAATGGAATTGCAGTATAAGTTAAAGAAGTGGCTAGATTTGGAATGCAACTTAGGACTCCTGGTTTGGAACTAGCATCTTCAACATATCCCTCTGTCCTTCTCCCTACAGTATGAATTCAAAGCCAAGAATATCAAGAAGAAGAAAGTGAGCATTGTCGTCTCTGTAGATGGGGTGAAGGTGATCCTGCGCAAGAAGCAGAAGGTGGGACTCTGCTCAGCTGCCTCAGTGTGCAAAAGAAGAGAAGCTTCTCGTTCAAGAGTTAGTTTAAACAGCAGTCTATACCTTTCCCCTTATAACCATGCAATGAAAAGGGCTACAGGCTTTTGTTTAAAGCTGGGAATGAGTGTATTTTTAGAAATCCCTAAAAAACACTCTAGTGGGGAGGAGAATGGTGGGCATGGGAGCTGAGGTAAGGACAGTGGCACTGATGCTGACTGAACCTACAAAAATTCATTCCTGTTCACAAATTGCCCAAAAGAGCTTTGACTGTGAGCTTTCCAAAAAGATCATACCAATTCAGGTTTAGGAAAGGTCACCACAAAGTGGGGGGAAACACAGAGACAGCACAAACAGAGGACTGTCAGTCCGCCAAAACAGTGATGCGGTAAGGAAGCCAAGGCAAAACAAACTGGACTGTGTGGATGCAGCCTCATAGAACTCCCTCCATGGGATATTTTTCCTGGTGCCACCTTTGTTTTCTTTTTGGCACCGAGTGGAATCTGCCCTGCTTTCTTGGCTCTTTAGTGGGTTTTTATTTTTTGCTAGTTTAGTTTTTATAGTTGCTGTTTCAAGGCTACTCCTTTTCTGTTTGAGGGTACTCTTTGCTCTGGTGCTTTCTCTGGGGGAGGTAGTTTACCTATTGATGGTGGAATAACAGCATATCTGGATTTAATAGTCATTTCTTCTTTCCAGGAAACTGTAGTTGTGTGAGGAGAGTTCTGGGGATCACTGCAAGAGAATCTTCCAGACCCTCACCAAGCTGCATGTCCCACAGTTCTTTGGGAGAAACCACCCTGACCTGGATAGCCTAGGATAGCCCGATCTTGTCAGATCTTGGAAGCTAAGCAGGGCTGGCCTTGGCTAGTATTTGGAAGGGTGACCTCCAAGGAATACCAGGATCGTGACACAGTGGCAGGCAATGGCAAACCACCTCTGAAACGTCTCTTGCCTAAAAAACAAGTCTAGATTGCCACCTAGTACTGCATAACACTAAAAGAGCTAAAACTTTTGGCTGCCAGACAGTCTTAGGATCTCCTGGCTATACAACACACAAGGCCATACGATTGTTGTTGTTGTTATTGGGAAACCATAACCGTTACACTGGCATAGAGGCAATTTAATATATACATCCTTTCCTCACCAAGAAAAGTATAGGCACAGAGTGTAGAGAGGCCCTCAGTTGTGGCTCAGGGCCTTTTCTGTGGTCACCTTGGCTTGTTTGGCTTTCCCCTAACTGGGTAGCCATATACATCCATCAACCCTCACAGGATTCAGCATGCAGCACAGTTATCACAACTAAATGAAATTTCACTAGTAACAGTTTGCTTTTAATCCTCTTCTCCAGAGGATGGAATGGACCTGGGACGAGGGCAAGATGGTGGTGATGCATGACCCAGTTTACAGGTAAGTGAGTGTTAATAATCACCCCCCTGCCCACTTCAGGTCCAGTCTGGAAAGAGGGAGTCAGCTCTCTTTGTTTATTTGTATCCTGGCCCTCACAGAGGTCAAGAGAGGCCCGGGCCACTTCCATTTTTGAGGGCCTCCCCAGTAAATTAAAAAATGAAGAAGTGCAAAAACAATTATACAAAATTAGCAGTATTATATTTTCGATGTTTACATTTAATACAATAAGAAATTGTAATACTTTGTAATAAAAGTTCCCATTTTTATTTAACATGTGATTTAACATCAAAAGTGTGCATTTGAGGGCCCCCCAGAGAATGTGGGGCCCCGGGCCAAATGGCCCTGCTCCCTCCCCCTAGAGGCCCTGTTTGTATCCCACTTTCACCCTGACCTGGATAGCCCAGGCTTGCCCGATCTCGTCAGATCTCGGAAGCTAAGCAGAGTTGACCCTGGCTAGTATTTGGATGGGAGACCTCCAAGGAATACCAGGGTCGTGATGCAGAGTCAGGCAGTGGCAAACCACCTCTGAACATCTCTTGCCTTGAAATCCCTATTAGGTTGCCACAAGTCAGCTGTGACTTGACAGCAGCAACAACAAATCCCACTTCCAGCACCAATGAGGGCCCAAAGTGGCTGGCAGGAGAGGAAGTGAGGAAGATCCTGCTAGCTGGCTAGCAGCAGCAATAAGATCGGGGTGTGTCCAGAGGCATTAGCCAAAGAGCCTTTGTCCTTTGCTTTTAGCCTAGATAAATCAAGAGCTTTGAGGAAAAACTGCTATTAGCGAGAGGGAGGAGATGATGTGCTCTGGATCTGGAAGCCTTCCCCCCTCCTGGTTGTTTGTCTATATTATATGCTGCTTTTTACTGTATTGTAAGCCACCTTGGGTCCCCATTAGTGAGAAAAGTTGGAATGTAAATAAATAAATAAGGCCAGTGTGGCTCCAGTAAGGCCACACAGAGACATCCTGGAGCCTGGGGCATTTGTTTCTCTATCTCCCTCCCGTCATCCACAAACAATGACAATAAAACCCACAGAAAGCACCAACATTCTAGAACTGTTTTAAGATATGCCACTAAGATCCCCCATATTGCAGGCAATTACATGATTCCTGCAGCTACCAGTAAAACTCCCCTTTGGGGCCGAGCAGTGCATTCTGGGGCCAGGATGGCCACTGGGCAGCTGGTATGCTAGTACTTGAAGAAATGCCCAGCAGCCAGTTGCCGGACATCCCATTTGCTGAAATTACGGCATCAGCGCTGGCAGTTGCCTTCTGCTGGTTGCCAAGTGCAGCTCTCCAGAATTCTCCTCTATAGTTGCAAACTGCATCCAAGGGTTACAGTCTGCAAAACCAGATTTGTAAAGCTCCTAATTCGGTCCAACTGGCTAAATCAGCTAAGCTAGTAATTGCCTCATCTTCACTGCAGCAAACCCTGGCACAAGCCAGACAGGATTTCAAAGTGACTCCCAGGTTACCAGTAGAAAGACACTTAGCACCATTTGCCTTCCTTCACACAAATGCAACTTAAAAAAAAGAAGACAACCCTCTTTATACTTTTCTCATTTAAATGGGTCTTTCTCTGCCCCCTACTCCTTTCTTCTAGAATCTTCTATGTATCACATGACTCCCAGGACCTAAAGATATTCAGCTACATTGCCAGGGACGGCACCAACAATTCCTTCCGATGCAATGTCTTCAAATCTAAGAAGAAGGTGCAGAGGGATGGACGGGGTTGGGCTGAAGTGGGCTAGCATGCATCTCCTAGGCTGCCATCTCCCACTCTTGGGGGTGGTCACCGTTCTCATCTGCTCTTCACATGTACACCACTGGGGAGGCTAGCAGGCTGTCAGTCATGTGTGGGATAAGGCTGTCATGCTTGCCAGGCAAAACCTAAAAGGCTGGTGGCCCTGCCAGTGCAAAGGCGTGCCCAGCCTGCTTTTCACTTCCTCCTGCTCTTGCTGAGAAGAGGTGGCTTCTTTCCTCAGACTCAGGCCATGCGTGTGGTGCGGACAGTGGGCCAAGCCTTCGAGGTGTGTCATAAACTGAGCCTCCAGCATGCGCTCCAGAATGCGGATGGGCAAGCCGATGGCGCCAGCAACAATTCAGTAGAAGATCCACAGTTGGAAGGTGAGGAACTTGGTGTCAGGTCCATTGGGATTTCTTGATAGCCCTTTTGTACATCGATAGTCACATATGTACCCATCTTCAGGGAAGCCTCTCCAGTTTTAGCAATTGCAAAAAGAATAAGCACTGCTGGCTGGTTTTTGTGTTTCTAAGAGAGTGGCCAAAGAAAGTCGATGGTATAGACAGATTGGACTGTGCAAAATCTGCATTGTTTACCACCTGATTAACCTACGGCAAGATAAATTAATTCACTCCTTTTCCAGTTGTAAATTATCACTTGGTGGCTTCCCCCACCTTAATTCTGAGCAGTAACCCTTTCTTCTGAATGCACCTTAGCTACGCTGATCTCCCCATGTTTCCTAAAAAGGAGATCATAATTTGAGATGGAGAAAGTCAAGGCCATTTGTAAAAGTCACAGCAAAGGAAAGTGCCTGCTATCACAGGCCAGTTATTCTCAGATCATGTCCCCGAACGTCCTTGCAGCCTCTGATTCATTTACACGTTCAAAGAATGAACCTGAGGTTGATGCAAACACCAATAAGTCCATAGTTGTTGACAAGACATGGAAGCTACGCCCCTTCTTTCTCAGCCTAGCACAGATAATCACATGAACGACAGAAAGGCTTCCTCTCTAGTGGGTGTAATTCAGAGGTCCATAAAGAAATACATTGACCACTAGAGATCTACAATTCCCAGAAAGCTCCCCGACCTGGATAGCCCAGGCAAGCCCAGTCTCGTCAGATCTTGGAAGCTAAGCAGGGTCGACTCTGGCAAGTACCTGGATGGGAGACGACCTTGAAATACCGGAGGCGGGGGCAGGCTTTACTTAGCCACCTCTCTGAATATCCTCCAGGCCCCCAGTAGGGGTCAGTCACCAGAGGTCACCACGACTTCCAGGTGCACACACACTCATACGTATACACAAAAACACACATGCACATATTTAAAAAAAATTTAAATACAATTCCCACAAAGCCATGGGACATGGGGTTTTTGGTTGGGGGGGGGGAGTGTTTGGAAGAGTTGAAGTGTATGTATACACACAAACACACATGTACATATTAAAAATTTTCAAAAATACAATTCCCACAAAGCCATAGGACAACAAAATAGCTATGGGGTTTTTGGTGGTGGTGGGGGGAGTGTTTGGAAGAGTTGAAGTGTATGCAGTACTTAACTTACATATCAAACCTAAACTTAATTTAATGCTTGAACAGCATAAAATTCATAATTTAGTTAGCATATGCAGTTTTATTTATTTATTTATTTATTTATAGAATGTAGAAGTATAAATACCGTAGTTATCTACAAGCAAAATAAAATTATATACATACAGAATTTTTGAAAGAACTGCAAACTGCTTCATCCTATGCTACCTTAGCACATATATCTTAAATTTCTGCCATCTGAGGTAGGGAAATAAAAGTTGAAAATAGAAAACGCCTTTTGTAGTAAAGAAAAAAGTGTATTATTTGGGCAGAAACACATTCATATAGTCTCAGTAGAACTAGCAGCTTTTGGATGAAGCAAATATTTAATGGACGGTTTTTTGTTTGTTTTCTTAGAGGTACCCAAATGCCTAGTTCTTCTGTTGGGGAAAAAATGAAAAAGAATCCTCAGGAAACAATGAGGAGGGTGGTTTCCAGATGTTCTCTCCCCCCCCCCCCAGGCTTCAGGTCTTCAGATTTCTACCTTTGAAAAACTCAAAGACAGGACACCAAGGGTGTCAGTCGCCCTGGAGCTCCTTCCTTCCACAGCAGTCAAGTTCAAGTTTCAATAACCTTTAATAGCATAAAATGTAATAAAATACAAAGGTGATCTTACATAGATAAAAGTCAGAATGGCAGTAGCACTGTCAAGATAATACAATAAAACAGTCTCAAAGAATAACAATAAATGAGGGCAAAATTAATCGAATATTCTCTGCCCTAACCTTAGAAACATGATTACCCTTATGCAATACAATAGCCAAATACTTATCCACAAGTTCCGTCAGTTTGATGGATTTATCAGCGAGTAAATACTGAGTCATTCTCTCTGGGGAGCCAGTAAAGTTGGAAATAACAGATCGAGAAGTTGTTGACGAAGCTTACAGTGTGTGGGATGGCGAAGTAAACTATGAGAAATTGAGTCAGGTTCCAGTGAGCAGTCTCAGAATCTAGATGTCGTATGTAAACAAACTCTTTAATTAGATTAAAATTGAAGGTACCCTTCACAGTAATCCTCCTTCAAGGCACAGCTTCCCCCCCCACACACACACACACAGAATTATGGGGATGGGATGGGGAGCCTAGCTAGGCCCAGATGCCCTTTCCTTGGTAAGACTTTGCTTCTCTCCCTTTTGGTGTGGCTTGAAGGTCTCCAGCTGGAAGGGCCTCCAATGGCTGACAGGGAAAACGTCCTTGCTGACCCCGAGGGGCTGCACATTCCCGACTGCGGGGCCTGCGAGCTGCCCTCGGCCGTGCCAGACCTGGGAATGCTGAAACCTGGGCAGAGCCTGAAGGAAAGGAACAGCCAGGTAAGAGCCGATGGGATCGGAAGGCAGGAATGCGATTATTCAGACAGCTTGCTGATCGCATCTGTTACCCCTGGCCTCCTTCAGAACAGTTCATGGGACTCCTCTGGTTTTATCCTCACAACCACCTTGCGTGGTAGGAGAGGAGGCAAGAGTTCAGGGTCCTCTAGGGAGCTGCCTGTGTGATGGGAACACTGACTTTGCCACTTTTTTTGGATTGTAGGATAGCGAGAGCCGCACTCTTCACCCCTCTGCTTCACAGCCACTGGTGAGCCCCACCAGCCCCTGTTCCTCTGCTTCAGTCACCCCACTTGCTTCCCAGCACTGCCTGCAGCTCCTCCAGCACCAGCTCCTCCAGCACCAGCAGCAGACCCAGGTGGCGGTTGCTCAGGTAACATTCCTCCGCTCAGACTGCCAGGGTTTCACATCCACGGGGCTGAGGCCAGAGCCTGGGCAGTTCCTCCTCCTTAGCCACAGTTCCTGCTCAAGTGGTCTGAAAGTGACACGATCCCTTTCTTCAACCTATGCCGAAGGGAGGACTGACATGCCAAAACACTTCTTAGGTTACACAGATTATCGGAGGACGGATGCCTCTCGACAGCCTCAATTGTAAAGCTGAACTTCATTGACTAGAGCCACTGTGCCACTGAATATCAGCTGCCAAGAGCAGAACTGTAGCCGCTATTCAAAAAAAGGGTTCTAGGCTTTGTGGGCCTTTGGTCTGGCCTCACAGGGCCCTTCTCACATCCCTGGGACTTGGTCCTCTCTGTTTAAACATCTCCGCTGTCTCTCTGGCCCAACAGGTGCAGCTGCTGAAAGACCAGTTGTCGGCCGAGACCACGGCCCGCATCGAGGCTCAGGCCCGTGTCCGCCAGCTGCTCCTGACCAACCGGGACCTTCTGCAGCACGTCTCCTTGCTGGTGAAGCAGCTCAAGGAGCTGGAAATCAAGGTGCAGCTGCGGCATCCAGGTGAGCAAAGAAAGGGATCGGTGTGCTGAACACCTGCCCAGGGCTGTTCAAACGGTGCATGCTCTACCTTGTAGCCATCTGCCACCGTGCTGAATTTTTCCCTCCTTAATGCAACTTCTTGCTCTCCCATTCCCAGTTAGAAACTGGACTCTGAACACCAGTAGGGTTCACCGCTCCCTTGTATCTGTGGCCTTGCTAATGCATTTCCCCCCCCCCCCCCAATCTCCAGTTGACCGCTCACTGCAGAACTTGACTTTGGCTCAGTCGGTCTCGCTCAATTTGAAGAACCACTACAGCCTAGAAATCAACCTGCCCTCCACCTCAACTCCTGCCAGTGTCCTGGGCAGCCCTGTGACACGGCCGAGCATCTGTGAATCCTACCTGAACCTCGCCAGCCTGGAGAAGGGCAGCAGGCTGTCCAATAACACCGAGAGTGAGGAACGCCTTGAGGTGCTGGAGGGTCCAGACGGTCTCCGCAGTGTCGAGGGCTCGGAGGCCGCAGACTGCAGTGTGCTCAATGGGACTGGGCAACCGAAGTGCAATGGCTCGAGCTTTCCAGCACAAGAGGAGAGGTAGGTGGTCTTCCCGCGGTGATGGGCATGGCCATCCCTGTCCGAGCCAGAAGGGAGCTGCGTAAAGGCCTAAGTCACGTGGCTCAGTTGTGTTTCAAACAGTTCTGTGCAGATTTTAGCATGTGGTAAAGCAGCCATGTGACAGCTTCTGCGGGGGCCCAGCCTGACCTCAGCTGCTCCACCAACTCTTGATTCCCTACTCCTCCACAGGCAGCTGCTGGTGTGACCTTGGGTCAGTTACAAGACCTTTCAGAGCTGTTCTCTCAGGAGCAGTTCTCTCAGAGCTCTCTCAGCCCCACCTACCTCACAGGGTATCTGTTGTAGGGAGGGGAAGGGAAAGGAGATTGTAAGCCACTTTGAGACTCCCTTGGGTAGTGAAGGGTGGGGTATAAGTCCAATCTCCTCCCCCTCCCCCTCCTCCTCCGGGCCAGCCTGGCCGGGCAGCCTCAACAGGCAGATTGGTGGGGGGGGCTAAATCATTGAGGGCCAACAAATTAGCAGTTGCTTTATTATGTTTTCCAACCATGGGAGGTGCCTTTGCAGTCGTATTGAATTGCAGAATGGGTCTATTGGATGTGCTTTTGCATGGCTGCCTTCCCCTAGGACAAGCTTTGCCTCACTTCAGATCTCCCCGTTTGTTTGGACGAGGCCATCGACAGCCCTGGGCAAGCCAGTACGTCTCAGCCTAAAGCCACCACACGCGCAGCTGCAAGAGAGACTGCAGTGCGGGTGTTCCAGATCTTAACCCTGTTCCCATCTTTTCTTGACAGGTTGCAGCCATTCATCCCCAAGCTGAACCCACCTCCACCCACTCTGAGGAGGAGGTCTAGTAAAACCACCTCTCCCAGCCTGGAAGCAGAGACCGTGCCCCCCAACTCCGTGGCAAATCCCGGAACCTCCGCATTCACCAGCATTGCCATCTTCTCCCTCGCTAACTTAGAGCCCAAGTCCCGGACACAGGGAGGACGCACTGGTGGCTGTGTCGAAAACCGGGGGCATCTAAGCCAGGACCAGGCCAGGGAGGACAGATGCACACTGCTGGCAAAGGGCATTTTGGGCCAGGTGGACAAGGTCCCAACTAGGGACTCAGACGGCACTCTGGACAGCACACGGCCCTTCTCCTTGGTCGGCAACGAGACCTGCTTGCACATCAGCCTCTCGGAGGAAGAGCTGGACAATACTGGGGCTTGTATGGCTCGTGCGTAAAGATACTCTGGAGCGTACCCTTCATGGGACCTGGGGGCCAGGCCTGGATAGTGGGGGGGGTAGAAATGCCACAGAGGGCCCTGCAGCACCAGGTGAGGCCCTGGGGGAAAGTCACAGCTGGATGCTGGTGGCTCTGAAAAGCCAGCAGTGGCAGAGTTTCAACTGAAGGGAGGCAACTGGGAGACTTCAAAATCTCTCCCAGGGAAATCTTCCAAACGAGCAAATGTCTTCCGTGAACACTGGAGGAATTCCAGCACCAAGTATGTGAGAGTCTGGCCATTACCTGGATGGAGTACCCACCTGAGAATCCATGTACGATAAATACCGCTGAGCAAGTGCAGGGATTCCCAATGCCCCGTAAGGGACCTCAGCACCATTTGCTGAACACTAGACTGTGCTTGGGATTCTCCCCGCACCCGGATAAGGCCACGGCATTCAGTATCCCAGAGGCAAACGGGCAGAAAGGGCAGAGAGATCTGTAGTGAACAACCAACAAAGGTCAGCGTCTGGGAGTTCAGAGGGGCTACCCCCCAGTTCAGTGCACAGTTATTTCAGGATGCCTCCCCTGGAGCGAGAAGAGAGGAGTGGGCCGTGGAACCTGTTCTGCACACTGAACACACATGTTGCAGAAGCCCAGCTCCCTGACGGAGGGGTTAGGAGCCACTCACTGCTACCCCTGCCTATGGCTAAGAGTGTAAAGTGTGAGGGTGTCCCAGCAGCCCCCTGCCCACTTTGGGGAGCAGAAGCAGCCATTGCCCTATTGCGTCCTTAAAAAATGTTCTCTTCCAGTCTTCGTTAATGTGTTTGCAGGGACGACACTAATGTGGGAACAGCTGTGCAGTGCAAGAGAGGCTGTTGGGTGGGGAAGCCAGCCCCTGACACCGTTCAACTGCACAAGACAGGAGTGTTCCGGACCAGCTCAAGAGACCCAGTCCAGACACCCCAGCTCTTCACACACACACACACACACACAGCACGCCCACCAGTTCATTGCTTCATTTGACATGCTAATAATATAGTCACTGCAGGGCTCCACAGAAAAGGATGCATCCTGGTTTTATGTTAATTGATTGGTACATTCTTTTTTCTGACTCTGTTTTTATTTTCCTCCTTCTTGTAAGGCAGAAGAAATATGCATCCCAGCAAAGGGGCTTCCAGATTCCTGAATGCCTGTTTGTGAGATGCAATTCCCCACCCCCTGCGCAACCCAAACAGCTTTGAGTGGGTTGTGGGCTAGTGCGATTCACGCACCTCTGAAAGCAGGCTGGGCAGACAGTAACCAAGTCTGAGTGACTGTGTTCCCACTCCAGTTAGAGTTTAGTGGCCCATACAGTATTCCTCCTGGCCAGTTGCCAGTATAAGACAGGGGAAGTTAGTACTCAGTGTTTTCCTTCCTTACTTTTCACGGTGCATTTTTAAAAAATGACTTTTCCAAGAAGTAAATACTTTGTACATACTCTGTCCTTAAAAGAAGCTTCTGGTCAGGAGGAAAAGGCATTTTCTGGGGTCTTGGAAGTATTTTGCTTTTCAGTCTTTTTAAAAACTTTCCTCTGTTGAGGAGAATGCTCTGCACATGCTCAGAGGGCATTTCAGCTTGCTATGTCAGAATTTTTGAAAGCAAAAAAGTAGCAATCCTAACTTTAAGTCTTGTGTGACTAAAAGAACAGGGATAGAGGCCAGTATTTCACTACAGTCCTGGTGAAAAATTGGGACATGGGTATGGAGCAAACATCTTGGAATCTCATTCAGACTCAGCCCTCATTCAGTTGTGTGGATCAACTATCAGTGACTGTATAATGGAGGGACCAGAACTAACTGCTGTTAGGAAGCCGCAGAACAGATCACGATACTGTATGTGCAAGGATAGAAAAGGGTTCATGGCTGTGCAGAGCTGTTCGAAAGGGGAGGACTGTTTGTGATCACTAAGAAAGGGAGAAGAGAGTTGGGAGTAAGTTGTCAGAAAGAAAGAAGCAAGGAGAGAGAGAAAGTATTACAAAGCACGACAATTTTGAAGGTAGCAGGTGGTTAATGTATGTGTTCCCAGGGGGATGTGGGATGAAACTGTGGCTCTGGATGTTCTACAGTACAGTTGGCAGAGCTATAGCTTGTGCGAATTACCCAGGACATCCAAGAGCATATGTAACACATAGGCCAAAAGGAACCATACAACAAGAGCAGGTTTCACAATCTCAGAGGCAGATTTCTTAGCGGCCTCTGAGATTACAAAACTGGCCAGTGGCCCACTGACATAGGCTCTTGGTTATGCGTCCTGTTTGCTTGCACAAGCACCTTCTGGGCTGAATTGCATTAAGTGGGAAAACAAGGTGTGAACTGGCCCCAAAATGAAATCTGCTTCTCTGAATAGAGCCCAGAAGTCATAAGAACGTAAGAGAAGTCAATGTTGGATCAGGCCAGCGGCCCATCCAGTCCAACACTCTGTCACACAGTGGCCAGAAATATCAGGTGCCCTCAGGAGGTCCACCAGGATGGGTCACTCCTGGCCCCGGTTGCTGAAAGGGGAACAGCCAGGGAGGGGAGGGACTCATTTGGCAAAATGAAAAGTAACACAAAGAAAATGAAGACTGTGAGTGAGTTGAAGGTGGAGTTTGGGCTAGTTATTGGATGAAATTGGGGGTAGAAATATAACCAGGGCTGCAAGCCCTGAGCTGAACTGACCCCAAAATGAAATCTGCTTCTCTGAATAGAGCCCAGAAGTCATAAGAACGTAAGAGAAGTCAATGTTGGATCAGGCCAGCGGCCCATCCAGTCCAACACTCTGTCACACAGTGGCCAGAAATACCAGGTGCCATCAGGAGGTCCACCAGGATGGGTCACTCCTGGCCCCGGTTGCTGAAAGTGGAACAGCCAGGGAGGGGAGGGACTCATTTGGCAAATTGAAAAGTAACACAAAGAAAATGAAGACCGTGAGTTGAAGGTGGCGTTTGGGCTAGTTATTGGATGAACTTGGGGATAGTAATATAACCAGGGCTGCAAGCCCTGAGCTCCTGTTAGTGGCAGCAGGAGAAAAATTAAAAATAATGGACTCTTGGGCCTATAGTGTGATGTCCAGATTAGCCTGGAAGTGATCTCACACTGCTTTAAGAATTGACAGAAACTCTGAGGTAAAACCATAGTTTTTAGCAATTCCTAGAGAGGTATGACATCCTTTCCAGGTTTTCTCCAGAAGTGATGCCACACCGTCACCATTGGGGTCCCATGTCCCCATCCCCCGTCTCTTGCTGGTTGCCTTAAGAGTGGCAGGTGTTCACTGAGTTGCATAGCTACTATTCAGAAAGACAGAGGGAACATCACAGACGGTGTTCCCTCTAAGCTGAGTTAGTGTGAGCTAGCTCACCATTTTTAAGCCTCCGGCTCACACATTTTTGCCTTTGCTCAGGAAGGAGGGCTCCAGAGCAAACTAATTGACGCAGTAGCCAGATCCCTCGCTCACAACTTTCATGCCAGTCGCTCACAAAGGAGAATTTTTGCTCACAAGACTCCAGAGCTTAGAGGGAACATTGATCACAGAGACTGGGTGGCCTGGAATGGGATGTGGAATACCTCAGGTGTTGCCTAGCAACCACCATCACAAGAGGCCTAGCTGTACAGGGCAGCTATATAACTAAGCATTAAAATTACCAACTAATCAGAAAAAGGCTTGGCCTGCTCCTGTGCCTTTAAGAAGCAGTTTGGCATACAGAAGTCAGCAATTGGACTTTCGTGTGACATTGAGATCAATGCATTTTCATATTAATATCTGCGCATCAGGTTATTTTTAAAGGCCCAGCCTAAAGTTGCAGGCAGGAAGGCAGGCCTACAAAGCATCAAATGAGAATCTGCCCCAAGGTGGGCCAAAGCTCTACAGGCGTACATACTCCCACCATAAAGTTGCCGTTTCCAGGGAACTTCTGGGGCATTTGTCAAATTATGCTATCAGTTTAGGTGCTTCCCCACCCATCAGCCAAGGAGAGGGAGAGGTTGTCTGTCCAGTCATGTAGACCCTCTAAACCAGTGGTTCTCAACCTTCCTAATGCCGCGACCCTTTAATACAGTTCCTCATGTTGTGGTGACCCCCAACCATAAAACTATTTTCATTGCTATCATAAGACAATCGAAAATTTGTGTTTTCCGATGGTCTTAGGTGACCCCTGTGAAAGGGTCGTTCGGCCCCCAATGGGGTCGCGACCCACAGGTTGAGAACCGCTGCTCTAAACCCAACACCAGCTGCAGGTTCCATCTATCTTAATACATTTTCTCTTGGCACCCCTGCCCCAGATCCCACCTAAAGCGGTTTTCAGTAGAGGGAACAATTAGGAAAGGGTTGAATCCTATCCCTAGCCATCCGGACACACATCAAGCCTGCTTCATCAGAAAATTACGGTCTATATAGTGCCTAGTGTATGCCTTTGATACATTTATGAGTTTATATGTCTGAGTTTTCTTTGCAATTCTTGCTTTGGTCACACAGCCAAACTTTATCCTTGCATCTTTCTGTTTGCAGGAACTAGCCTGTTATTATTCTGCCAGCAACCAGCCACCCCCATCAAATGTTTACTGAACACTTGCCAGGTTTTCCTCCCAAGGACTAAACCCTTACCACAATTTAGAGTCAAAATCTGTCTCTCTCCCAGGCTTGTGGCAGAAAATCTATTCAGAGACTGGTGAGAGATGGCGGGAGAGGGGCTACCCAACGTGTAATTAAGACTGCTTGGGAATCGATGGGGGGGGGAGTATTTTCCAAGTGTATTCTGTAATTTATCAAAGATGTTAAAAGAGACAAAAAGAAGGACGGATTTACTATATAAAGCTGTTCAGTGTTGTTGGGACCATGAGTTATAATTACAGATTCCTAACTCCTAATTTTGTCTGGTTGGTTTATCTTTTTCTAAAAGCAGTGGGTGAGAGCGCGCAGCCTTCCTGGCTGTCGGGGGAGGTGGGCTTCCACCCATTTTCACAACAACCGTGGCCTCTGTTAACTAACCTGTTGACATACTTTTTAATTCTTGCTGTTTTACTGATGCTGGGGAGGGGGGGCTCATTTCTGACACGTTCACTCTTCTTTCTTCTCCCACCCGAACATTTTTGGGAAAAGGGAAACTTGTGTCCCTGTGTGGTAAACTCTTTGCCCAGTGACACACAGCAAGCTCCGTCTCCCAATACAGAGCACATGCACGTATTCTAAGGCTGGGCCCAATATTCAGTAGACACTCTACAACCAAGCCATGGGTCATATTAATGGTTTATAACAAATTGGTTCACAAAAATGTTAAAAAAACATAAAAGATATTCATCTTGTCTAAAGTAGCTTTAAAGGGCTTGTTAAGCCAGAATACATTGGATCACTGAGGATTTGCTTCCTTCAATACATTTTTCAATTCACAGTCTTCTTTAATGGAGCCTTCCCTCTCTTCAAATTAACTCCTGTTTATAATCCTCATTCAAATCCCTGAACAATTGGTTTATGAAGCCAAATCGTTCTTTGCCTGAGTTTAGCGTGGTCCTGTCCTGCCCCCTGGTGGCAAAACCATGCTACAGTAAGGTTGAAATGAGCCCACTGTCATTTGGCAATCTAAAACCAAAATAAAACAGATTTGACCAAAGAAACTAGCAAACTGTTCCAGCTGTTTTGTACGAAAGAAGATATCACAAGCATTCGAAAATACTTCTTTCTATATGTACTGGATCAAACCAGCAGTCCATCTAATCCAGCATCCTATTTCACACAATGGCCAGCCAGACACTGTAGTCAAAATTGAGCTATAAAACAATACTAAACAATTAAATGCCTGAATAATTAACACAGCTGCAAGATAACAAAAATACAAAATATGGTGCAACAACAGAACAAGTTCTCTCAGAAGTGCTTTCAAACAACAGTTTTAATTACGTAAATGAACACCAGGTTTGCACTAAACACATTCTGAAATTAATAATAATAATATACTTTATTGTCATTGTACATAGTACAATGAAATTAAGATGCAATCATTTCGGTGATCTACAACAATATTCATATACACTCACACAACCATTCAAAACTATCTCATAACTCCCTTAAGGTTCACATAGCAACTTAAAACCACTAATGTCACCCAAATTCCAATTTCATACAGCATTTAAGACAGTAATAGCTCTCGAATAAAAACTATTTTTAATCTGTTTGTCCTTGTTTTAATTGTCCTATATCTTCTGCCCGAAGGCAGCAGTTCAAACAGGGAATGTCCAGGGTGTGACAAATCCTGCAGAATGTTCTTTGCTTTTCCAAGAGCTGCTTGCCTAACCTTCACTGGGGATCTTAACTAATAAAATTATCTTAATGAACTGGTAACTTTAATCAGATCTTGGAAGCTAAGCATGGACAGTCTTGGTTAGTACTTGAACGGGAGACCACCGAGGAAGTCCCAGGTTGCTATGCAGAGGTAGGCAATGGCAAA